TGTATTTTTTTTTTTGAATTTATATTCAATCACACCCTAAGTCTGAACGTCGTATTTATCTTTCTCTGTACAGGCAGTGGCAGAAATAGCCAAAGCTTCCAAACGTGAGGCTAATAAATTACCCAATCAAGCCGAGTCATGCAAGAAGGATATCAGTTCGAAAATTGCGAATGCAGAGAAGAGAGAAGGAACGCTCTATGACCGTTCTGAATCATATGCTAATGATTCCATAGACACTGAGAAAATGGACACTGGTAGTATATCTTTAGAGCGTTATGATACTTTTGGCAATATGGAGGAATAATCTCTTTGTAATGTATGCAAGGATAAAATACAAACGAATTTTATATCACAAAAAGTTTCTCAATCTGATTCTCGTGATTTTTGTGGAACAGATGAGGAAGTTCACCTGATTGGGTCTGAAATGCAAGAGGAGGAATGGGAGAAAGTTATATTCAGGTTTAACGATTCGAAAAGATACAGACGAATAGTGGGATCCATTGCAGGATCATGTCTAATTGCTGTAACTCCGTTAATTACTTCAGCTGACCCAGCTGTATGCTTGACGACACTAAGCGTAATTGAGGTATTAACTAGCAACTTCATTTATTTATTTATTTATTTTGGTTTTTGTTTGCTCATTAAGAGGAAGAAACTTTCTCTAAACACGATTTATCCAAATTGATTGGTGAAGTTAATTAATGCCCTCTTAGAGCTGGTTTGAATTTGTTCGAGCATTCATGTCTTATACTTTTTCTTTGATTTTTGTTTAGGATGGTATTATAGTGCTTGCAAAAGTGGAAGAAGCCTACAAGCATGAAAGCGAAACGAAAGAGATGATCGAACAAGTCATTGAGTCATGCTCGTTTCATAGTCTTATGGATACTCTTGGTGCTGTTGAGGATGAGACGCAGGAGAATAGATTGCTTCCTGCAATGAATAAAATTTGGCCGTTCTTGGTTGCTTGCTTCCGGAGTAAAAATCTATTGGTAAGTAAGCTGTCCATTTTGATTGTTTTTTTTTTGTTAACCATAGTGAATTTTGGACAAAAGTGGTATAGTTAATTGTTAATGGAATTTTGAGTTTATATTAAATAATATTTAAAATAAAATAATTAAAGTTAATTTTGATGTAAAAGTAAAGGAGAGAGATGATGTGAAGTGATGGTTAGTTAAAATTATGTGAGCGGATGAACAGCTGATATGATGAGTAAAAATGATTAGTGATATTATTTAATTATATTGATAATAGTTGAGCATAATGATGTTGGGTTTAATGTTGAGTTAGGAAAAGTAATTGAGTTAAAAATGTTTTTTTTTTCAATCAAATCTATATCCAATCGCACACGCTAAATACCAACATGATTTTCATTTTCTAATTTGTCAGATTTTTTTTATTTAAAAAAATATTAGCGTTCTTATTAACGACTATTAATAAAATAAAAATAAAAAAACATCCTAGGCGACTCGACTATTAATTATCTTATTCGCGACTGTTTGATCCACAGGCCATCAGGCAGTGCTGCCGCACAATCGCCAGCATTATCCAAATCTGCGGCGGAGACTTCTTCTCCCGCCGTTTTCATACCGATGGGGCCCACATTTGGAAACACCTAACCACATCACCTTTCCAGTCGAGATCCCCCGAAAAGTCCCCTCTAAAGCTCCCTTACAGAAAAAGCTCCTCACATGCCGAAAAGTCACCAGCCGAGACTTCCAACATAAAGGTTCAAGCCGCAATACTCGACATGATCTCGGATTTAGCCGGAAATAAGAAAAGCGCCTCATCATTAGAAGCTGTTTTGAAGAAAGTAAGCGGAATTGTGGTAGGGATAGCGTGCAGTGGTGTAAAAGGCCTGCAAGACTCGTGTGTGAACGCCTTGGTGGGATTAGCTTCGATCGACCCGGATTTGATATGGCTACTTTTGGCCGATGTTTATTACTCAAGGAAGAAAAACGTGCCGCCATTACCACCTTCTCCCGAGTTCCCGGAGCTGGGTGAAGTTCTCCCTCCACCGGGCTCATCAAAGGAGTATCTTTACGTGTTGTATGGAGGTCAGAGCTTTGGATTTGACGTCGATTTTAGTGCCGTGGAGACTGTTTTCGACAGACTTTATGTGCAGGTTTTCACCTCACAGATGTACAAATGAGAATTCTTTTGGGGGATTGAATGAAAAGTTGAGAAGTGTGCATCTTTGTTTTATTTATTTTTTTTATTTTATTTTTTTGTACTTACTAATATTGCTGAACTTGGAGTAATGAAAGAATATTAGGTGGTGAATTTTAGGGCTGCAGCCTGCAAACCGAGCGGCTCGCGAGCACTTGAATTAAAGCCCCGCTCGCGCTCGAGTTCGACCGTAGTCAAATCAAGCTCAAGCATGTAGTGAATTACTAAAATACTCCTCATATATAAATATTACAATATTTTTATGTACTTAATGGTAATTTTACTTGAAATTTGAGTTGAACTCGAGCCGAGCTCGAGCAATTTTTCGAGCATTTTGATTTCAATTGATCTCGAGCCGAGCTCGAGCGATTGTCTTCTTTTGTTGAGTTGATCTCGAGCTCGAGCAAGTAAAAAAATAATCTCGATAAGGTCAATGCTCGACTTGGCTCGACTCGTTTGCAGTCTTAGTGATGCAGTCGGAGTTCGAGCAGGTCAGAGCTTTGGATTTGATGTTGATTTTAGTGCCGTGGAGACTGTTTTCGACAGACTTTATGTGCAGGTTTTCACCTCACAGATGTACAAATGATACTTCTTTTGGGGGATTTTGAATGGAAGTTCTGTAGTTTCACATTTGTGTGCAAAAGGTTAAGAAGTGTGCATTTTTTTTATGTTGCTGAATTTGGAGTAATGAAAGAATATTAGATGGTGAATTTTATGGCTTCCAAACGAACCGAGTGGCTCGCGAGCGCTTGAGTTAAAGCTCGGCTCGAGTTTGATTTTGACCGAACTTGAGTCGAGCTTGAGCAGCTCAAGCATGTTATCGAGTCGGGCTCGATCATAGGTTTTGGAATGAATTACTAAAATACTTTTTATATATAAATATTACAATATTTTATTTATGTATTCAATGGTAATTTGACTTGAAATTTGAGTCGAACTCGAGCTGAGCTCGAATAATCTTTCGAGCATGTTGATTTCAATCGATCTTGAGTCGAGCTTGAGCGATTGTCTTCTTTTGTCGAGTTGATCTCGAGCGTCATAATTCGAGCTCGAGCAGGTAAAAAAAGAATCAATCTTGCTCGATAAGACCAATGCTCGACACGACTCGACTCGTTTGCAGCCTTGGTGCTGCAACCTGAGTTCAATAACAAAAATACCCTTTCGGTTTCATCTTTTTGCGTTCAATTTTAAACCAAAGGTAGAAAATGAGAAAAAGAAGAGCATCATTAGATCAGTAAGGGATAGAGTTCGTTCCAAATTCTAACTCAAAACCACAGCTTCTTCCTTTTAACAGGCTAAAAAGCACAATAATTTTTCTATCCTCAACTTCTTTTGGCTTTCAAGATCCCAACCATATCAGAATATGCAAAGAGCTTCAAGGTTTTAGTTCATTACAAACTGCATTTACCCAAAGTTCGAAAACAAGTCCCTCAGAGCAACAGCCTAAAGATGAATCTACACTAGCCCATTAACAAGCCAGCTGTCTACAAAGAATTCACAAACGAACATTCATCTAAAGGTAACCCGTTCAGGAAGAGTTCACACTAGAACAGGTTCTCCTTACCTCTCCAGCTGGCCCGACGAGCACATTCAGATTGGACAGCTTCACCATTGCACCCGCAAACTCAAGCCTAAATTTAGCTGCATCCTCAGCATACTCAAAAACCGCTATTGCTGTCTGCTCGTTCGCCATCAGTTCTTGGTCGGCAGTCAGAATGCCTCTGCCTTTTATCAGCGCCCGATAATAGTGATTGCCAAACCCACCTCCAGGAAGCTGGCCTGAAGATGATGAAAGTCCCTCATAATATTGCATGCTTCGTGAAGTTTCATATATACGTTTCGCCTTTATCTTGTTTTCCAAGTTGCTCATGCTTCTAGTTGGGACTTGACATGTCGTTCTCATCTCTCGAAGAAAATCCAGAGGGATGCCCCCATTGTCGAACATGTTGATCCTCGATTCGATGAAACCGCAGTTGATCCGACCAATGTTGTGAGACCCTTTCGAGAAAAGAGAAAGTAGATTAAAAAGGGAGGTACGATAGTACCCTTCATGCTTGAAATGATGAAAAAAGGAGGGCTAACTGAGATATTTTTTAGGCATCAAGGGTTCTGAAATAATTTTTCATAGAAGGGATTAAATGCCAGACATAATCAGTTTCAGATACATTTATTACTTTCCAAAATTACTATGACAAACCTCAAATGTACATATTAACCATAAGAAATAATAGCAGAAAAAAGTTCACACCACTGGAAATTTATATACATGTTAAAAAGGAAGGATACCTAAAAGAGCTACAGTCTCCCTCTCGTCAAATCCACGTCGAGCAAACAATCTAAGGGTTTCGGATATGTTGCTGTTTGGTCTCGGAATTTCCTCAGTAGCCTCAGCGGTATAATAACGGGTGCTGTCTTTTCTGCCAGTGAAAGCCGGGTAATAAGGTCCACCGGACTGCAGAAAGCGAGTATGTTATAACAAGAAATAAACCAAGAGAATGTAGATAAGGACTCGTCAGTAAAATTGTGACAGAATTTTATTTACATCAGAAGTGGAAACTAACAAGAAACAGTATCTATGTTGAGGAGTAATGAAAATGTACGAAAAACCTAGACAAGTTCTTTTAAGCTTCTTGGATAAGGCAGGGAAATTAAAAGAACATTCAGTTATACACCATAGCTATCAGTAGATTTGACTACTTCAGTCAACATCAGATTACATAGTTTTAGCAAGAGAAAACAATTATCTGCTTCAGAGAGCAACTGTTCCATGCTTTGCCACTGCGTCACTAAACTATTACATAATCTATTAACACGACAAATATATATATATATATAGTGTGTGTGTGTGTGTGTGTATAGAAGTTGAAACTTGGCATGTGCAGTACTACTAACATGAATTCAAATGAATAAAGCAACCTTGTTATTTTGAATTCCTAATTGAATATCTCTGGTGATATGTTCAAACTTCTTCAGAAACCATATCCACAGCTAAAAGTTGCACCACCGTAAAGTAAAAAATGTGGCAGAATAGAAAATGCATGGCATGTATAAATAATAGGGTTACGAATGAATGCCAATAGAACGATAACTACAGACAAAAGTTGCTGGTTCTCACCAAAGCAATCGCGTCTCGAGTTGCAAGAACAAGGATGTCAGCACAAGAAACTACCCCCGGACATTCGCTCTCAACCAATTCTTTTACTTCATCAACGAAGTCAAACCCCTTTAGAGTCTTGTTCGGGTCAGCATGTCGTTCTGTAGTTTGATTGGGCATTCCCATGGTATCATTTAGCATCACTGAGGCATCACATCCCTGAAAGAATAACAAAACGCACAAACGACCACTAACATATAATTATCAACAGGGGTAATAAAACAGAATAATATCCACACTGTTAGAAGATATACGTCACAAACCACTACCGTGAAAATAAATAAATTCATACGAATTACGAATAGAGAAACTCGCCATATTACTAGAAGCACAAGGACTGAAAACTATGAAATGTAGCAGATACAGATACCTTAAGAAACAAATGCATAATACTGATAACCAGTAAAATGCCCTCTGGAAAATAAGCATCACCTAATTAATGCCCATGCAGGATAATAGTCAGAAAATCCAAAATAGTAGGTTCCGTATAAACTCGTCCAGTCGTCTGCCACTATCGACAAACTGATTGCTCAATTTATATTAACTAACTTCTCAAGAAAAACCAAAAGAACATATAGATTACCACCGACTTTTTCCTTGCACTATTCACGAAAAAGCCTCTGAAAAACAACACTGTTCTTGTTCAAGAAATTTATAGAAGAATCAGTATGTAGGTAATCGATCCTCATGTTAAACAATAGATCTACAGATGGAACAGCTCAATGAAAGGCCATACACAGAGCATGCCAAACAGCCCTCGACAGCCATAATCAATCAAGCTGAAAGTTCGCTTGTAATTCGGATACTAAACAAATTCCACGAAAACATCAAAACAAAATCAAGATTAACAACATCATATCAAAAAACTCTACCTCAACCCTGAGAGTAGCTAGAGTCGTTCAAGAAAAAACACCTCTAGAAAATCAAAAAACAAGACCAAGATCAACAGCATCATATCAAAAATTATACCCCAGCTCTAACAGTAGCTAGAGTCGTTCAAGCAAAACACAGCAGTAGAAAACCAAATATCGAACAATAAGAAAACAAAACAACGAGCACAAGATCCAGAACACCACATCAACTATCACCTCTGTCTAGACCCAGCAAAACCCAATCGTGAAGCAACTTCACTAGTAAATCACCAAATCAAGCACCAAGCAGATATAAAGAAAATCAAACAACAATATCAAGCGCCAAAACCGATTCCGAAACAAAAATCGACGGATAAATAACAAAAAAAGCAACACAGAAAACTTAACCTGAATAAAGCAATCGTGAAAGAGAAGCCTCAGCAGTTGCGCCGTGGCGTTCTCGTTTCCAGAAACGATATCCGCCATTTTACTCCACACAATCTTCTCCGCATCTGGACACGTCTCCCTGTAGCTATCGTACTGGAAAATCTGCTCGATTGAAGTGGAATTCTGCGACGAAACGCGGGGAAGACCGCCGCCGATGATGAAAATGATCGCGGCGAGAAAAAGCAACGGAAATGCAGGACTACGCACATCGATTTTTGCAGAACTCATTTTCAGTTTTAGAGAGAAGATAGTTTCCGGAGTAGAGAGAGAAAGTGAGGTTTGGAGAGTGAGGGAACAAATGGCGATGGAGACGGCGGAGGAGAGAGAATTATCGAGCTCAGCGTTTTCTATGTGCGAGAGGCGGTTAGGCACGCGCGGGAAAAGCACGAGCTCTAGATGCCGGAAAAATAAAAAATAAAAAAAATAAAAATAAACATTATTAAAGGGTTATGCTCTCGTTGAGAGTCGAACTCAAGACCTCCCGCTTACTAAACGGGTGCTCTAACCAACTGAGCTACGAGAGCTTGTTTAATTGTTTACATAATATCACAAGTATTATAGCTTTCCTGCTCAGTGGCTTGTATTTATTTTAGGTCACGTTGGAACTTTAATATGTAATAATCAGCTTTGGGTGTTGCAGAAACTTTTGACAATTTCTGGTTGTTACGAAGAACCATCGATTCAATATTTTCTCTGTGGATCTCTTTTGTTGACTTAATCTTAATGCGAGGAATGTCAATTACGTTGGGGAATCATATATTGAGCTTGAATAATAAAATGATTTCTAATGTGTCACCAACATTAGGGCGAATTTTATCAATTACTGTTTATCATTTTAGTGGGGCATGTCGCATATAATAAGTTCGAATTTTAACGTCACATAAGGATAAGTTCAAAAATTTATCACCTAGCGCGAAGGGGCTTGATTCAAAATTAGGGCGCGATTTGGATATGAATTCAACCTGCATTTGATGTGTTTTATAGTTGTTAGTTTAGAAATGTGATAGATTGATAGATAGATAGCTCGTGTAGTCCAAATCCCTTGAAGACAAGGATTAGATCCATATATTGTTAACCCGAATCATTTAGTCTGGAGTCTGTTAGGAGTAGTCCAAACACGACTGGGCCCAGTAGACAATATCCCTAAATAGATGTGGCCAAAACCCGATTCTAGGCTAGAATGTCGGTTGAGGTTCGTTATTCTGGTGAAGTGAGCCGAAAGTAGCTCAGGAAAGAATAGTAAACCCAGTTCTAGGCCGAAACCACTAGTTCAGGTTCGTCATTTTGGTGAATAAAAACCAGCATATGAAAGACTAAGAGCCGGTTTCATGAACCGGCCTGGCGGTTCAATGCCGAATCGGAAAATTTAAAAACATTAATAAAAAAATAACCAAAAAAAAATCAAATTTTAAACTAGAATGTCAACATTGATTCAATTTTTTAAAAAACATGAACCTGAACCGGTGGTTTTTACCCGGGCCAGTTCAAGGCCCGTGGTCAACGGTTTTGACTGCATGTTCCTGGTATTTTTATTTATTTGCATGTTTGTAGTCTTAAATTTATAGTGTTATGTGTTGTTAGATGGATAGTTTTGAAACATTGACGATGATTTTTGTTAGAATTTTAAGTACGGAAATATTCATATTTTCACATGAAGATAAAAAAGTAAAACATGCAGCAGAATATAAATAAACACAAAAGATTTAAAATTTAGTCTACAAGTTAAAATCATTTGTAGACTAAGGCAACACGCCAAAATATTCACTACAAAAAATTAACTTCGATGTTTTCCATACACTTTCAAAAACAATCACCAACACATCTAGAATAACAAAAAGAAAAAGATAAATAAAACACAGAGTTCGAACGTGTTGCACTAAATCATATCATATCATCAACAAAACTAAGACCATAACAGTCTCGCGAATATAACAAGAAATTAAAAATGAATTAAAGAAAAGAAGCCCGATAGATCTCTTGCAAAACGAAAGACGTCATGTGCTCAATCATCAAAGCCACGCAGTGCCCCTTACAATTAATGTTGCTGCTTGATTATTATTCTCTTCAAAAGCCACCAATCTTTAAGTGGTGCTTCAACAAAACCAATTGCTGCTGCTTTAATTCTTTTCAATCCCACGCATGCTTCTTTTCTGTCTTAAAACCCTGCAACTTACTCGAGTGGCTTACCTCTTTGGGCAATGTGAATCGATTATGGGCCGCAACCCTTTTCATCAAGTGGTTGAGATCGACACAAAGGGAGCTTTTTACTCTCTTGTGTCTGATGTGATGAGGTAACCCTTATGAGTTATGGTGAGGTAAGTTTGTCGAGGTTACGTCCTGGAATGAGATCGGCACAAAGGAAGAGATCGGCTTAGAGAGTGACGTCCTAGCCCGGGACAATGTGTACTTGTGCCCTTGTGTTGGCATCATGCTCGGGGTTTTCGTGATATCGTTGGTGTAGGCTTATTGTTCATGTTGTTGTTTAACAAGCCTAATCTGGATAGACCGATTTCTGGTACAACATGAACTTTTTAAAAAGAATGTCTTGCTTTTGCTAACAATATTATTTTCAGTTAATTTAAATATTATTATTTTTTAATTTAATATATTTATTAATAAAACAGAATTATATTGTTAAATGTGTTCATTATTTATATGAAATATATTAAGCATTTTTAAGATATCAATTTTTTAAAATACTTCTTACTTTATGTTTTCTAAATCTTTTTCAAAAAATTTAGTAATGAATAATATCATGAAAGTATGGTAACCTTTTATGTTTCTAAATCTTTTTCAACAAATGTAGAAATGAATGGAATAAGGATTGTAATTGGAAGTTTGAACGGTTGTAATTTAGATAACATGTTATAAAATTGTGATCAGTTTTTTAATAATAAAAAAAGTAATGATATAAAGGTTTTTTTTTAATAATGATTTAAGTTGTAAATATTGAAATTTCGATAGAAAGAGTTAAAGAAAAAACAAATGTAAGTTTGAGTTTAACTTGCTCAATTGATTTAACAATATTGTTTTATATTTTCGTCAAATTTTAAAACTATATAGAGTAAAAGGTTGTTCACGAAATAATTATTTGATAGTTTGGAGTGCAAATATTTAAATTTCAGTGTAATTTATTTTATGTAATTTGTACTCATTTAAAAACAGATATGGTAAGGTTCCAATTTCCATAATCATATCTAGATATGTATAAAAAGGTTTGATTATTTTTTAAATGATAACTATTTCCCGCAAAAAAATATGGTTTACTAATTCTGAAAACTATTTAAATATTTTATGGTATGTTTTAAAGATACAATTTAGGTAATTGTGGCAAATTAATTAAGGTAATAAATCACATAAAATCTCTTTTGTATCTCAAGATATTCATATCATATATTTGTACCCAAAATATCGAGATCTATCACATTCCTAACAAACATTTTATTTACTTATATATTTTTAAATTAATCACATCAATAAATAATATTAATATATATTAAATTTTTATCATTATATAAAAAAGAAATATTACTTCTATAAATGTTATAAATAATATTGACATTATACAACAATAAATTTTTTAATAAAATAATATTTGAGTATTATGATGAACCAAAATACGTAATTTTTTTTTTTGTATTAAAAAATAAATATATATGTTAAAATATTATTTTATTAATATAGACGGATCAATGGACTAATACATTGTTAAAATAAAGTTTTGCAAAAATATTTTACACAACGAAATTCTCGTGTATCGGGATCCTCACTAGTTTTTAGTTGATAGTTTGAAGTATATATTTAAATTTTATTCTAATTGATTTTATGTAATCTGTTTTAGAAAAAAAAAAAAATTATGATGTTGGTGAGTTGTATAAAACTCATTTGATATTCTTTTAACTGAAAATGTTGTTGATTCTTTATTGCCCTAGGAACATGAACATACATCAGTTCATAAAAATGGAAAATGTCCCTTTTTTCTAAAAATGGAAAATGTACTAAAACATGAGAGGTAATCGTAATCAGTATCACTACTAGGTGTGCCAGGGCACATTTGCACGCGCTCCCTTACTCTCCAATACTAGAGAAATTTGGAGAGTGTAGTTCACATCCCCAATTTTTCTTTTTAATTGAAAAATGAGACATATTACATAAATTAAAATATCATTAATTATTTATATTAAAAAATAAAATAAAAATACCAAAATTCATAATTTTTCATTATCTATAAATAGAGACCACATTTGATAGGTTTTTGAACACAACTAATTTTTCGTTTTTTCATAATTTTTCATAATTTTTCGTAATTATTTTATTATACTGACATATAATGAACATGTTACATAATAAACGAATATATTTTCAAATATGATGAACATGTTACAGATTGTAGATTGAAACAATACATATTCATCTTATTTTGTAACATGTTCATTTTATTGTGTATGTAACATGTTCATCTTATTCTATAACATGTTCATTTAATCATGTAACATGTTCATCTTATTATTTAATATGTTCATTTTATTACGTAACATGTTCACCTTATTGTGTATGTAACATGTTCATCTTATTATATAACATGTTCATTTTATTATGTAACATGTTCATGTTATTCTATAACATGTTTATTTTATTTATGTAACATGTTCACCTTATTGTGCATGTAACATGTTCATCTTATTCTATAACATGTTCATTATATTATGTAACATGTTCATCTTATTCTATAACCTGTTATTTTATTATGTAACACGTTCATCTTATTTTAGAACATGTCCATCTAAATTTCATCTGTGAAAATGTAATATTTTCATCTTATTCTATGACATGTTCATCTTACTCTATAACATGTTCATCTTACTATGTAACATATTCATCTAATTATAAATTTATGTCATAATCTTCCTATAAGATAAATTAATTGTAAAAAATGATAAATTAATTGTGTTTAAAAAAATATCAAATGTGGTCTCTATTTGTAGAGAATGAAAAATTATGAATTTTGGTATTTTTATTTTTATTTCTTGATACAAAATATGATTGATAATTTAATTTATATAATATGATATATAAATTTCATTGCCCAATAGAATTGAGACACATGTCCCATTTAAAAAAAAATCCTTACCTACTTACCCCACGCACTTTTGGAGAAGGTGTATTTCACTAAAGGCCCTAGCACACCTAGCAAGGTGTGCCAGGGCACACCTAAGTATTTGCGAATCGTAATAGCTTTCCTTTCGAATTTTGATCATATGCGTTTAATTCTACCTACCTAGTTTTGGAGAAGAAAGTTCAACCCAAATACTAGGAACTAGTACAACACCCGTGTATTACATGGGTGTAAAAATTATTCTTAAATTTTAAAATTAATGAGAAAACTATATTAAATTTAGTTTACTTTTTAAAACAAAATATATTACTATATATTTAGAATGCTATGTGTTACATGTATTATATTATATTGGTTTTTATAACTTATATTACATAACTACTTGAAATATAAATATATTAGTTGATAAATAATTTTATTTTTCTAATTAATATTAAAAATAATTTTATTATTATTATAAAGATAAAAATAAATTATTTTTTTATACATACAATATGGATATAAAACTGAAGCTCATCAAAAGAAGATTAATTTGATATATTACATATGTAAAACTGATAAAAAAATACAAAAGTCATTAACTTTTAAAATATATATACAATTCAATAGTTATAATAAGGAATGATTCAATTAATACATGTAACATGACCATAAATAATTAACATATTTATGGTAATCCAAACCTAATTATTTTTGGTTTAGTATTAAATTAAAATTTACCCAAGTCTAATAACGAAGCATGTAATTTTGCCACATAGGACTCCGAAGCACCAAAAGCAGCCACATATAGATTAATATATAGGGGGATTTGTAATATACAATTATATTTATATTTTTTAAATAGACCATACA